AACTGGGCAGGACAAAAACCCAACAACAAGCCAGCCCTCATGTTACATCTAACTGTACCTATGAAGCCAGAATGAGCCCTTCCCCTGTAAGTTGCTTCTTTCAGGTAACTTGTCTTGACGATGAGACAGACTTTCAGTGTGTTGCTGTTGATAGATGGCCCTGGATTTCTCAGGGCTCAGCTTGTGATCTTCGGCTTCCTGATGCTGTGAGAGCTGCTTGAGTTCGCTAGAGACAGCGGTGCACTTTGTGAACACTTTCCCAGGCTGCAGTGGAGGTCACATGCTCTCTTGCAGCACTGGGCAGCAGCACCCCACAGCACCCAGCCAGCTATGTGATCCTGAGGGGGACAAGATGCCCAGGTTGAGGGGTCCGTGGCAGACGCATCAGAATGACCCCAGGGGTAGTTAAGGAGCCTCTGCCCCGAGCAGAAACCTTTACTGAATTAAATCCTAGAGCATGGGAGTTGACCCGACTGCAGGAGGAGCCCACAGGCCAGTAGCCCGCCCTACCTCCAGCCAGGTGTCAGCAGAACCACCCTGCGCTTTCTGCCATGTTTTCCATTTTCCAGATCATCAGATACACAGACTGTGGCTGGGGCTCGCAGGACCAGACATTGCTGGAGGGCAGTGGTGGGACGTGGGGGCGATGTGCTCCCATGATGACCTTGCTGCTCCTGCTCCACACTGGCCACCCATGGGTCAGAACTGTCATGGCGACGTTTCTGTGGTTTGGCACTGACATTCAGTTCCCTGGTTCCTGGGAGCAGGCGGTCACGTCTAGACTATAGTACCTGTAGTTCTGAACCCACACCTGGCTTCCTGCCGCTTCCTAATAGGCCATGGTGCTGTGGCTGGGAACCCTGAGGGTTTTCTATTCCCCCTGACCTCAAGGGTCACAAGGGGAGGTCACATTGGGGGGTGTCTGCCCAGCAGCAGTCCAGTTCCTGATGGGGACAGAGATAGCATAGACAACTATCCAGTCGCCTATGTCCCATGCACTTGTCACCCAGGTGAAGGTATATAAGCTGGAGGACTAGACACCATGTCCTGGGTGTCACTGTACAGGTTCGACTCTAAAGGCTCCACCTGTCCCACCTTTGAGAAGCCCGGGGCTGCCAATGCCTGGGGTGGGAGGACCCAGGGAACAGTTGTGCAGGCTAGCCAGTGTTCATCAAGCCAGAGTTGTATTATTGCCTCAGTCAGAGTCACACCATCCCAGGTCACACTAGCCTTCTGTTTCTACGGACAACCAAGTCCTATGTGAGGTTCAGACTCCTTCCCTGTGGCTCAGGGCTTCCCCAAGGCCTGACTGATACGTTTGCAAAGCCTCACAAGGTCTTACACTTGCCTGGCTTCCATCATCCCCTCTCCTCTTCCTGTCTCCCCTCTGCCCTTCAGTGTCGAGCCCTGGTGGCTGACACAGGGACTCAGGCACAGCCTCTGTCCCACCCGTGTTTTCCTACACAGATGCTTTTTACTCTGACATATCCTGTGACTCCAGTGGGTTCAGCATCTCACTATGTGCCGCATTTCTGTCTCAAGTATATAACCCTTAAAAGGCCAAGGCAGGATGCATGATCTCATCACGGCTAGCATCCTCTAAGTGAGGAGGAGGTGATGGGCACGGCTTGGCAAGACCCTTCAAGCAGTCCCGGCTCTGACTTTCTAACTTTATTTATGTCACAGTGCCAAGGATTTTCTGGTCCCTTTTTGCCAATTATCACAGATCATCATTTGGTTCCGGTTCACCCTAGCGACTTCTGCAGTGTCGAAGCATCTGCCAGCTGCCCAAGAGGATGCCCTGAACATGACATTTCTTGTTACTACACCATTATTGATAAACATCCAAGCTCACAGTTGTCTTCCCACCTTGACTGAGACGGCTATGCCCATCCCAGGCTCCTCTGTACGTCAGCAAATCTTAGTGATTTTTTTGAGGCAGGCTCTCACTGTGTAGCCCTGGCTGTCCCAGAACTGGCTATGTCAGTGAGGCTGGCTTTGAACTCACAGAGATCTGTCTGCGTCTGTTTCTGAGTGCTGTGGTTGAAGGTGTGCACCACCACACCCAGCTTTGCACTTTGAGTACAATTCTTCTTTTCCCCACTCGAAGTCAGCATTTTCACAAGTGGACCACACTGAACTGTGTCCAGATCCTGAATGTTCTGGAAGAAGTCGCGAGAGGTTAGTGAGTCACGAGGAAGCTGAAGGTGGAGCAGGGAGGAATCCGAGGGCTCAGGGGGTCTCAACCTTCCCACATAGCATGATCTTGATAGGATATTAGCATTTCCTGGCCTGTTTCTTCCCTGTCACAGAAGGGACCTAGTGAGGCTGCAAATCCAACCAACACTGTATTCAGTAGCTTCAAAACCTCTCTGAGTTCAGTCATGAGCAATTTCAACTCCATGGCGATATGCAATAAAAGACTTGCTCAGCATGGCCATGTAATGGCCCTGAATTTCTTTCTGTGCCTTGAGGTGAACATTGATTTGAGCCCCTCATTTTCTTTTGCTTTAAATTATACAGTGTTCAGTGGAAACAGATTTCCCATCCTTTATAAATTGGCCCATGGCCACTCCTACTGACTCTCACTTTGGCTGTCTCCTAGTCTCAGATGACAGGAGGTATAAACATGACTATCCTGCAACCATGTATCATTGGCAACCACTTCCTGTCTGGTAATACAAACCCGAGCCCATTATTTTTGTTCCGGGTGGCTCCTGTATCCCTCGGTTTCAGGTGGATTCCACTCCTGGTACCAGTTTCCACATCAGGATTATTTGATTACAAACACCAAAAACTGGCTCTGGGGGCTGGAGTGATGACTCAGAGGTTAAGAGCATTGACTGCTCTTCCAGAGGTCCTGAGTTCAATTCCCAGCAACCACATGGTGGCTCACAGCCATCTGTAATGAGATCTGGTGCCCTCTTCTGGCCAGCAGACATACACACAGACAGAATATTGTATACATAATAAATAAATAAAATAAATAAATAAATAAATAAATATGTTTAAAAAAAAAAACTGGCTCTGGGAAAGTCACCCGAGAATATGGGTGACCAAGGAGCTGGAGAAGCAGGCCACCGCGCAGAAGTGAAACTAGGCCTTGAGTCTCAGGATGAGACTGAGCCACTTGGAGGTGGCAGTGAGAACTGCCTCTCCTAGGATGGGGTCATGAGACACCTCAGTTCTCCGCACCTTAAATCTGTCTCCACCAGAGATCCTGGTTCTCAGGAGTTCTGAGCCACATGGGGTCCTAACTTCATGGTAAAGGAAAGGTGTCCCTGTGGTTGGCCATTCCCCTGGACCAGCAAAGCCAGGGGCCACAGAAAAGATGCTAAGCAGATAAAACTCTAGTATAAGTTCTGCAGGCCATTTTTTCCTTTTCTGTTGTGAGCCCTTGCACGCACTCTGGCTCTTGTCCTGGAGGACTCTGCCTTCCTGCAGGCCTTGCCATGGTGTCCCCTCCTCTAAGTAGGTGCCATCAGTCTCAGCCTGGGTAGGTGCTGCTCTAATGTGGCCACAGCACTGGTCTTAAAATTGTTCTCATTGCCTGTTTCCATCTCTTTGTCACTGGGTTGTGAGCAGTTGAAAGGGTGAAAAGGTGGTCCTGTCACTGGCCTGCTGCAGTGTTGGAAGTGTCCCTTCCCTCCAAACTTCAGTCTTATTCAGCACAGGGTAGCTATGTTCAAAGACCATTGTGGTGGGAGACATAGCTCCACCAATGGTCAGCAGCAGCATTAGAACCCGAAGGCTAGGAGGAGCTCTGGCTAGTCACCAGGGAGACCTTGGGGATCTCCATGGATGCTGGGATCACCATGTACCTTCCCTGGAGTCACCTGGCCCCCATATTTTCATCTTCCTACTGTAGAGGTCTCTGTCACTCTGCAGACTGCACGTCCCAGTACCTGGTATTTGAGCTGAGCCCGTAGATGGCACATTCAGTTGTAGCCTCTTGTGAGACTGGTTCATGCTCACACCTGTGCAGGGAAGGCAAGGATGCAGGACAAAGTGGGTGTCATGTGTGATGCCATCTGCAGTGCCCAGATCTCACCTCAGCTCCTGGTGTAGTGATAGGGCCCAGGCTTTCATGAGCCCCTCCTATTAGTTATTAGCCTTGGGATTCCCTGAAAGAGGCTTTGGGTGGAGTGGCTGACCTCAGTCCAGGCAGCCTTCCAAAGGACTGGCAGCAGGAATATCTTGAGTCATAACAGCTATGTATATGCCCTTAATTCCTCCCATGGATGTGGGCCACATATCTTGAAGTCCTATGTATGAGTTCAAATCCTAGGCTTGGTTCTTGTCCTAGAAGGATTTGACTGGCTTGGACGTTTGTCAGGAATCCATTCAAGGGACCACATGCTTGGTTCAGACAGCTGCTGTGTCGATTGCATTGGGGTGGGCTACACAGTCTAGGGGTTTGTAACCCACCCGGCAATCAAGTTACTCCAGGGTCTCGGAGGGGCGCTACCTGGAAGGGAATGAGCTAAGACAGAAGGAGGAGGCCAAACAGATTTGTCAAAGCCTCCGTTTATTAGGGACAGGTTACAGTTTATATATGGTAAGGAATGGGGGGCAGGGTACGGGATCTTGCCGCGTGGTTCCGGTCACGTAGCTAGGTTACTTTTGGACGATTAGGACAGAAGTCACAAGTTGCCACACCTGGTTCCCTGGATAGCTGGAATGTAAGGTGGGTTCTGCTAACAGATAACTCTCTATCAACAGCTTAATTGGGTGTGGGGCAGGTTTTCTCAATAGAACATAATTATGGGTGTGAGGTTCTCTGCAGACTCCCCAGGATGATTCCTGTAATGATTTCTAGAGGGGAAATGGCTCCTGACACTGCTGTGTCAGTGGGGACAAGTGGCCTTTCAGCGTAGGGTTGGGTGGAAGTGCCCTAGTGCTGAAGAGGCTCACCCTCTGCTTCTCGGGGTGCCAGATGGCACAGCCACTTTGAGAGACTTGTCAATGATGCAGCAGCCACTTTCCTGCAGCGAGGCTGGCGCGCCATGTTTCCACCAGCACTGCTCAGTCATTGAACTTGGAGGCAAGACCATCCTGTGAGGAGGTGGATAAAATGTCAGAATAGCTGTGCTATGTCTAGACAATGGAATACTCTGTACAAAGAAAGCTGTCAGGAGGTTAGTTTGCATATAAGATGTCCCCCCTTGGGCCAGCATGTGTGAACCTGGCCCTAGCCGGTGGCTTGATGGAGGAAGATACAAAATAATCCCACACTAGTTCAGAACTACATATTATAAAGTGCTGTTTAGGGAGACTCACAGATCACTCTCCTAAATCACAGTCCTCTGCACGAATGGGGAAAAGGAACAGAGTCTCCAGCCGGAAGTGAGAGCCGGGAGCAAGAAAGTGAGCACAGGCCTTACAGCTGCATTTATAGTATGAGAGACCTTGCCCAAGTGGGCTGGTATCTTAAAGGCTATTGGCTGAAGGAGCAGTATTTAGTAAAGTTGTGGAACTTGAAGGAAGTAGGTCACTGGAGAAGGCAGGCTGTGAAGTTCATAGGCCAGTCTGCTTCCTGTCCACTATCAGCTTCCTGTCCACCCAGAAGTGCACAAGCTCCTGCTCAGGTGACTTCCTGCCATTATGAACTGCATTCCTGTAGACCATAGCTCATACACAAGATGTGACAGGATACCCAGAGCCAGAAAGAGCTCAGGGATGTAAAAAGTTAAAAATATGGAGATAGTTAAAAAAGGGGGACTGGCGGCAGGAAGGGGTTGGGACTAAGGGTGGGTAAGCAGAGTGCGGGGGAGTTCAGGACAGCAACACACCAGATGCCACAATGGCAATCTGCCCCACATCCCTAGAAGAGATCCCATCAAAGTTAAACCGGAGCAAGCAAGCACTTTGGGTGGTGATGATGGATCTGTGTAGCATCCTGCCATCTGGCCAGGGCTTTGGGAGTGGGGGAGGAGCAGGAAGTCGGTGGGAAACAGACCATACCTCAATTTTGACATCTTAGTCACTGTTTGTCACTGAATAGAGACCCATGACCAAGACAACTTCTAAAAGAAAGCGCTTAACAGGGGCTGGCTTACAGTTTCACAGGGTGAGTCCATGACCATCATGGCAGGGAGCCAAGGCACTGGAGCAGTAGCTGAGAGCTCACAGCTGTCCTGCAAGATGGAAGCAGAGAAAGCTAGCGGGAATGAGTGGGCTTCTGAACCCCAAAGCCCACCTCCAGTGGCACACCTCCAACAAGGCCACACCTCCTAATCCTTCCTAAATGGTACCACCAACAGGGGAAGAAGAAATCAAGCATATGAGTTTATGGGGACCATTCTCATTCAGACCACTGTGTGATATAAACCTCTAAGACTATTCTTTTTTTGTGTGTATGTGAGGTGTGCACATGTGAACATGTGCACAGACATGTTGGGTACACGTGGAGGCCAGAGAACTTTTGTGTTTTCCTCAGGTGCTGTCTTGTGGGGTGCTCTTGTGTGTGTGCGCACATGTGAGTATATGAATGTGTGTGTGCACACGGAGGCCAGAAAAATGTATCTTTACAGTTTCTCAACACTAACCTGAGCCTCATCAATTTCAGCTAGACTGGCTAGCCAGCAAGTTCCAGGAATCCACCTCGTCCTCCCACCCTGCACCCCAGACACCTCCCCTCCAGCCCCAGCACTAGGATTACAAGCACATGCCAACATGCTTGGCCCTTTTAAAGATTTATAATTTACAAAGGAGTCTGTGCCGCATGCACACGGGTGCCCAAGGATGCTAAGAGGGTGCCCTACACCTGGAGCTGGAAGAGCAGGAAGCATCCTCAAGCACTGAGGCCTCTCTCTAGCTTAGCCTTTCAAAGTGCTTTGAGATCCCAAAGGTCCTCATTTATGTAACAAGCTCTTTGCCAAGACATCGAGCCCCTAAAACTAAAAGCATTGTCTTTTTAGAGGTGTGGTCTGGCTCTACAGTCCATAGCCTATGTAAGCTTGCTTTGAACTCTTGGCAATTCCTAGTGCGGGGATTACAGTTGTATGTCACCTGCTGTCATTTGTCATTTCAGAAGTTTTTTTTTGAAAAGGTGGTGTGAACTCTAAGAACCTTCATTGAAGGCGTAAGTCACGAACAAGGCCACACCAGTATGGAGTTATGATTAATAGGGTGTTATTTATTTAAAGGGGGAAAAAACTTACAGATTACCGTCCCAGACAACAGCCATCTGCACAATCAGGAAGGGAGTCTAGTCTCCGGCGGAGCAGGAAGTGAAGAGAGCGAGCAGAGGAAATAGCCGCTTTTTTAAAGGGAGAGAGACCACGCCCCAATGGGCTGGTATCACAGCAGCTATTGGTTGGAGGGGCGGAAGGACCTCCCGCAACACTTCATGGTTCTCTGGAGTCACACTGCTTGTGTCTGAATCTGATCAGCTAGGAAAGCCTAGAGAGAAATGAGGATGTCAGGCCAAGGCTTTGACATGGGCGGGTTCTCCTTGGCTAGTCCAGTCAGAAGTCTGGGTACAGCATGGCTTTCCATAGTTAGCCCAATCAGAAGTCAAGACACAGCAGGTTTCTCCATGGATAGTCCAATCAGAAGTCCGGACACAGCATGGTTCTCAGTGGCTAGTCCAATCAGAAGTCCAGACACCGCAATTCTGAACTAGTATGGCAACTAAAGATGTCAACCGGGGACTGTGATCTGTTTCCTATTTCTTGACACCCTCGTGGTCACAAGGTGGTAGCTCTGACTCTGGTTATCACGGTGGAGGAGGGAAAAGGGAACGGAGAAGGTGGTTTTGCATTGATTGCACGACAGCAGGACTTGCAGCAGCGTAGGGGGCAGGACTCTGGCTAGATAGTAAAGGACACTCACCTGGGGTGACAGTGGCTTTGTCTCCTCACCTCTTCAGCCTAGGCTAGTGAGTCCAGGCCTGAGGCAGAGGATGTCCTCACCAATGGGCACCAAAGGGCACTGCCGTTCTGTGTCAGTGATGGTGTCGTCATGGGTAGTGGCGGGGTCAGGCCACTCACAGTCTGTAAGGCTGGTGAGGAGGAGAGTGACCTTCCTTAGGGGTCAGGATTGTGACTGGGGGAGAGGGGCTGCTGCGCCCCCTCTGGGCTGGAGGGCTCATTGCAGTGAGTGAAATGCAGCCTGAGGCAAATGCCTTGTTTCACTGTGGGGGAATCAGAACCAATTGATTGTGAACAGCTTTAATTCAATTTGGCGAAAGAAAAAGAAAAAGAATGCATTGTGCGCAGCCACAGTGCCAGTAGTTAATCTCAGCTTCATAACCCCATTCCCATGACGGCTTAAATAATTCAGTGGAGTAAAGGTGACTAAATTGTGTGCCCTCCCTGCCCATGCCATTAGTCCACTCTGCTTCCCAAGCAGGTGTTGTCCTCAGAGGCCTGGGAGGGGGTTCAGGCTGGCACCCATGTGGGCTCTCAAAGCAAACCCTCCCCCACCCCTTGCAAACACGCATATACCTTTACACACATTTTGCACACTTGTGGGCTGACGTGCTCTCTGGCATTCACGTGAACATATACACACATCACAACCAGACTTGGAGGCAAGTTCTATTCTCATCCCCAGCTCATAACTACAGTGGCTTGAAGCTGCCTCAGTTTCCCCACAAATAACCTGGGCATAGATAAATCCTCTGAAAACCCCAGGCAAGGATAGAGTGAACTCACTGAGCAGCAGCCTCCCTGTTACTTGCTTCCTTCATGGCTTCTGCAGTGTTTGTTCTTGGAGAAAAGAGCCGGGCCACAGGCATCCTGTCTTCTCCCGGCCTTTTCCTTCCTCAGGTACCCAGGCGCCTGCTGCAGCCTCTGCTCCCTGTGTGCCTAAGCAAGTCATTCCACATCTGCCTCGGTTTCTTCCACCATAACCCTGCTCAGAGTTAACTCATAGTGTGGTTATATGCATGAAATCTGCCTGGCCCACAGACAGCTCCTCACCTGGGTGAGCAGGTGAGGGGTCCTGGGTGGACAGGACATCAGGATGGTTGGCTTTTCCCCAGGAGACTCTATAGCGTTGCCAAGGCAGACAGTTACAGAGGGCAGGTACCTGTGACAGGGACAGACCAAAGGGAGAGTTTGCAGCCCTAGGAGCCGGACTTCCAAGAGGCAGGAGGGTGGGGTTAAGTGTCGTGAAGCTCCTAACACCTCCAAACCCCTTCTTCTGTCACACCCACCCTGGCCTGGGGCTGGGCGACTGTGCAGGCTGACCAGCTGGGACTGCTCAGCTCGTCCCTGGCTCTCCATTGATATTCCAGGGAAGATTGAGTCCTGCCCTGCTCCTGCCCTGCACCTCCGGGCTCTTCCTGACAGACCTGATCAAACCAAGGTGCTGGAATGGGGCAGGTTGCTGAGGGGACTCCTGGATGTTAGGGTCCTTCAGACTCCACCACAGAGTGTCTGGGGGGGATGAGGTTTGGGAGAAGAAAGGAAAGAAGAGGGGGGAGGGAAGGAGAAGGAGGTGGGAGAAGAGATGAGGGAAGACTAAACAGGGTTGGGAGGAAGCTGGCTGGCTTTTTCTGCCCTTGGCAGCTCCTTTAGATGTTGGGCCTCTTGGATGAATCCTAAAGAGTCTGGCTCTGTCCTTTTGTGGGGTTCGAAGAGCACAAGGGACCGACCTGCTGTCATGCAGAGGCCTCCCGGCCCAACCAGAAAGGAGGCTTGGTCAGGACCCTGCACCCAGGAGCCTCCAGTGCCTGTGGATGCCCTGCCAGCAGGAGCCTGGGACCCTGCCTGGTTTCCCCGGGCAGTTCTCTTTGCCTGAGTGGTTGGGTCGGTGGGGGTGGCAGAGTCCTGAGAAGGAAAAGCGTTGGCAGCAGAGGAACTAGTGGAACCATAAAGTCTAGTTTAAAGCCCTAGGGTCCAGCTGAGCGTCTGCTCCTCACATGCGCTCATACAATATACTCACACATGCCACATGCCAGCATGCTCTGGTGCCCACCAGGGTGCCCAGGACCTGTTCTTGGAGTGTGTGCGATGGGCACATGAGCTCTGTGACTGGGTCGCTGGCTTGTAATTGGAACTTCTGTGTGTGGATGGGGTCATCAGAGGCTGGCAGCCCTTGGGAGTAGTTCCAGGACAGGGCCCAGTCACCAGAAAGACCCAGGTAGGACTGGAGCTTTCTGCCTCACACTACGTAGCAAGGGAGAGGGCTGTCGCCAGTGGTGATGACTACATAAAGATCAAAAACTACTCCCAAATGATGGAGTGTCAGGAGCCATTTCCCCCCAAAATTATTGCAGGGACCATTGCCCTGGGGAGTTTGCAGAGAGCCTCACACCCCAATGGTATTTAGAACTGTTTTATTGGCAGAGCCTATCTCACACCCAACTATCTTGAGAGCTAGCTGTTAGCGGAACTTGCCCCACATTCCAACTATCTAGAGAACTAGGTGTGTCGACTTGTGAATTCCTGACCGAGGAATTGTGACTGTAAAATTGGGGAGGGCTTTGGAAAACTGTGGTTGTGTTTTTCATACTTGTTTTGGCATTTTTGTTTTTACTTTTTGTTTTTTGCTTTTGCTTTTGTTTTGAAAGGATGATTGTAACACAATTAATAAAAACCCAGAGACAGAAATTATGGTTCAACATGAAAGTCAGAAAAGCAAAACAGCCAGTCACTGGCTTTTACCTCTACCTCAGTCTGAAATGGCAATCCTGCCTCCAGGAATCTCAGCATGAGACTGAGACTGAGAGCTGTCTCCTCACAGCTTATATTCCTTTCTATGGCTAGGATTAAAGTCATGCACCACTACCACCCAGTTCCTGTGGCAAACTAGTGTGGCTACTGGGATCAAAGGTGTGTGTCACCACTGCCTGGCTGTAATGTTGATCACTGTGGCTGTTTTACTCTCCAAACTTCAGACAAGCTTTATTTATTAAAATACAAATGAAGTATCATTACATTTCCTCTTTTTGTCTAATATTACAAAAGGGAAGACTATAACTAATATAAGAAACTATATAAAGTACAATAACTATATTCAATATATACAGGCAATAAATACATCAACAATGTCTAGTCCGTTTGCACTTGATAAATTCAGAGAAAATACTCCATATCTATCCTACCTTGGTGGGTCCAAAGTCTTATACCTAACTTATTTTTTATCATAACTTGCTTTCTGCATCTGGTAAACTATAACTATAAAGTCTTAACTCCCTCAGAGACCTGAGGAGGAAATGATATTAACTGCATAAGCAGGAAGTGCAAGCAAGCGACTCCCAAAAACTGAGAAATGACAGAAACAGCTGTCTACCTGGACAGTCACCCAAGGTTCTTCTGCAACCCTGTGGCTTCCATCTTCAGCCTACAGGCCTAGCACATCTGACACACTTTCTGTGAAGGCAGAATATTCTGAAGGGTTGTCCCTCATCTTGACAATGTTTGGCAGTCACTTTCTTCTGTGTCCAGCTTGTCTAGTTAGGACAGCATACTGTCAGCAGTTGAAGGACATTCTCTTGCCCAGTGTCTTACTTTTGCCACAAAGAAAGTAAACTCCATATGGAGTTTGTTTGATGCCATTATCTTCTCTGAAGTAGATGGGGTGCTGCCAGGAGCAGACATGTCTCTCTGACATAAAAAAGAAGAACCAAGGTTACTAAAACATTTTAAATGCCATATTCTGTAGATCTCTGAAGTGTTTGAAGATGACCTGTCTATATCTAAAATATATCTTTGTGTTGAAATATGAGCGGCGGGGCTGCGTCCCCAGCACCCCGGCTGCTTGGCTAGCTTATGCTCCGAAATAACAACACACAAACTGTATTCTGTTAAACACTGCTTGGCCCGGCTAGTTCCAGCTTCTTATTGGCTAGCTCTTACATATTGTTCTAACCCATTTCTAATAATGTATGTAAGCACCCCAAGGTGCGCTTACCGGGAAGATTCTAGCCTATGTCCATCTTGGGTTGGAGCTTCATCGCGTGTGCCTCAGAGAGCAGAGCTATCGGGAGAGCGGAGCATGGCGTCTCTGCTCCAGAGCAGAGCTGTCGAGTCTCTCCGGGAGCAGAGCAGAGTCTGACCTCACTTCCTCTTCC